GCCAAACGGGCCCGCCAAGCCGAGTCCGGCTCGTGCCCGGCCGCGGTCGCGTCGTCTCTCTCGCGCTCCCGCGGCCCGCATAAGCGCGTCTCTCTCTCTCCGCGGCCGAGCACGCGCCAGGGACCACGTGGCACGGGGCACCCTCCTCTCCCGGATCGCACAGAAAGATAGTCGCCCGAGCCGATACAATTTTTTTTTTTTTTCATCGATTTAACCATAAAGCATGGTTACTACGAGTACGCGTAAATACAACCGAACGTTTAGGCGAAGTAACGAAATGATATGGTAAATAGTTTTCGGTCGACCGTGTAAAATATCCCGGTGGATCGCATCGGACATTATCGCGTGATGCGATGAATCGTAATCGCGATACATGGCATTGTTGACTGAAATATATCTTTCAAAAAAAAAAAAAAAAAACCAAGAAAACAAAAATAGACATCTCGATTTCTTCAATATCTTCAGGCCCAAAACTTTGATCCGAGGATCCAAACAGTCCCAAAAATGTGGTTTCGCTCAGATTCCCCGTGGTAAGCCAAAACCTCCGCACTGAAGCGTCGTCACTTATCAACCATTTTAGTGCCACGCAGGGCGATCCCGAGGTCGAAAAAACCCCGTGCCGCGATCGTGATATCCCCGCGACAAATAACGCGGTACTCCCCCAATTATCCCGTGTCAATAGCCGAGCGCGTATGTAAACAGAGGGAGAGGAAGAAAACATGGAAGGAGTTATTTTTCCGGACCGTCGCAACCTCCAGGTGTATTAATAAGACGGAGAGAGAGGGAACGAACGGACGCAGAAAGAGAGGTCCGATTGCCCCTCTCCTGGTTCCCCCCGACCCCTTCTCGGCCCACCGCCGATATTTTGGCAAAAGAGAAGAAAAAAGGCGCGTTGCGGCGCAGTATGCAAAAATAGTGGCGCACGGCTCGGCTCGGTAAGTCTCTCCCTCTCTCTCTCTCTCCTTCGCTCCGCGCCGAGCCGAGCCGAGCCGAGCGGCCCGACTCGGTTAACGCTCGAGCGGCCACCCGAGTCTCGGGTTTCAGGGAATCTTCAAAGGCATACCCATTACCCACCACCGCGGCGAGCAACGTCGACGCTCCTCGTTCCAGGTGACCGAGGACGGAGCAAAACAGAAGGCCGACGGCGTGCTGCCCGTCCGGGGACTGGTTTCGAGCCACGAGTACTTGGTATCGGTAAGAGCCGCGGATTCTCGCTGGGTGCGGACAGAAGCTCTCGATACGAGTCAAGGATGCGAGGCAAGACCGATCGGTAGAAGGTTCCTTCCTATCGGGGCGAGATAAAAGTGCGAGGGCTGGGCGCACCGAGGAAAGGAACTCATACAGCCGAGGAGATATATTTCGTTAACACTAGAAATAGTGTAGAAATACCATGATTTCGTGTATACCTATTTCGACCAAAAGGTTTTGATGAGCTGGAGGAAAATGATACCGCTGAATCAATTTAACAATTATCATACGAAAACTCGAAACATTAATTGAGAAAAAAATTATTAAACTTAAGGTGACGCGAAAGGGGCGTCGGAGAGGTCTTGTTTATAAAACCTTTCTCCCAGCTCGGTTTACCGAATGGTTTGAAACGTTACTACGCGAATAGGGAGACTACAAGGAAGGTCCTGAGACTCATGAATTTTCAATTCTTTTAACATTTTTTTTTATGGGTATTTTAAATATAGTTTATAAAAAATGAAATCTCGCGAGTTTCAGGACCAACCTTAGGGTCTCCATATTCACGTTTTAAAGTATGAAAAGGTTTGAGACAACCGGTTCTATGAAAAGTCTTATGAACGATTGAACTTTCGGATGCCACTTTAACATCCCCTTAAGGTAATATGAAAGGGTAATAATGATAAGGTTAGCCCATGCTAGAAACAAGAATACGTATTTTTCTTGATCTCCATTGTTGTTTCAAATGATTCGACGCCCTCACTTTGGAGATAACTTTTATCAATATTTTCTTTTATTTTATACGTATATGACCATAATGAAATTAAATCACGACGGCCGAGCAGGCCGGAATCCCGCCGACTGTCCGCGGATCCCGAGGGCGAACAGGTGTCGAGCGGCCCTAGGGAGGTCCCGCCCGACCCTCGGGAACCCGAGCGGAACCCTCTGGAGGACTCTCATTACCGGACGTAAAATCGGGCCCCGGGAGTCCCTCTCGAAGGGACGCAAGAGCGGAAATCGGAAACGGAGAGGGGGAAGAGGGGCCCGTCGAGACCGGACTCGAAAGTCGGCCCGACCGGAGGAATTTCAAAGGCCGTGGACATCCGGACGACCTCGACCTCTTGGTCGACCCCGCGATAATCCCCGGCTGGTCTCGGTAGCCCTTTGAGGCGTTATGAAAGGATCGTTCTATTACTACATACATCTAATACATACATATAAAGCGTCAAAACATTGATAAAGCTATTCTCCAACTCGGGTGCACCGAATCATTTGGAACTTCCTCACGTGATTTTGAAGGCCCCAAGGAAGAACCTGGTGCTCGTGAAATTTATTTCTCGATAAAGGGATTATTAATTTTTTTTCTCTCTTTTTTATCTATCTCAGACCAAGAACCAAGAATACATAAGTCCGGAGTCGAGGCCGTTTCCTTCGCGAGGCGGGGAGAAATCCGAAATTCCGTTAAGCGACTCATCGAAACGGTAATACCTGTAGAGAGAGAGAGAGGGAGGGAGAGAAAGAGCCAGAACGAGGTAGGCTACGAGTTGAGGATGGAACTCCAGATGTAGGATTTAGGTCAGATTAGAGGAAACTAGGAGGGCTCGAGTTTCACTGGAAGTGCCGCGTTTACGTCGAGAGAGGTGCTCTCGAGGATCTACTCCCCGGGATCTCCGAGTAACGATAACGAGAGCACCGATTGGGTACATAATACCCGCTCATAATTGACAAGGGATCGACCTAAAAGAGGCCTAATCACCGTAAAGTACACTATAAAGTTCCATACGAAACCTATTTTTCCAAACTTCCTCTTTCTCTTCCTTCTACTTCTTCGAGGTGAAATCTTCAAGCACTTCAAATAGCTTCAAAGCACACTCACGGGGGGTTGAAAATGATTACTTTTGAATACGGTGGAGCGAAAGGAAAATAAATCTTAGGGGACTAAATTTCCCCAAAAGGTTAAGAGCAATTAGGCTAATTAGGCACGGTCCCCGGCGCAACTCCGTAAATCCATTGACACGTCGTTACCCAGTTTTACCCCGGTCGAAATTGCGTCTTAAAACTTGAAATTTAATTCTTTCACAGAGAATTAAAAATCGTACATATATAAATTGATTAAAAAAAAAAAATTAAATTTCACGGGCGCCAAGACTATACATATATATTTCAAAACGTGAAAATATTTATAAAACTTTTCTCCAAACTGAGTGCACCGAATTATCTGAAACTTTAACGCTTAACTTAAAAAAAAAATGTTTCTTGGTTGTTATCCGAGATAAAGACGAATTCTTTTTCTTTCTTTTTTTTCTTTCAAAAAATGAAATTTCCCTAGTATCGCGTCCTTCCTTAGGGCTTCCATAATCTTGTAATGAAGTCTCAAATGATTTGGAGCCAGTTTGGAGATAAGTTTTATTAGTATTTCGAATTTTTGGTATGTATACACATGACACTTTCATATCACCATAACGGCGTTAATTCCGTGGGACTCGACGCGGGGTTCGCGGGACGAGGAAGCTCGGGAATAAATTAAAAGCGACATTATACAATCCCGGGGACGTTTTTATGTAACGTCATAATCGGGACATTTAACACCTAATAGCCAGGCGGTACTTTCACGCTCTGGTGTACGCGTATACAAGAGACGCCGTCCACAGAGCACCTGCAACTCGTTTTCCTGATTAAGGATAACGCGATAACATTTCCCCCACGAAGTTAGAAAATGACGGGTGATACATCGAGCTCGTATCCCATTAACCCTTTGAACACGGAGCCATTTCGACATATGGGCAAAATTCGTCTGACCGTGCAGGCAATATTGGACCAAACGTCGGGCGCCTTTAGTCGCTCTTAATAGCCAAAGGGTTAAAGACTGAGCAGCTTCAGCTTCGGATACGCCATCAAGCCCTAAGGACGGACACGACAATAAGTCGACTAAATCCGTGATAAAAATCCGTATTCAACCGGAAGTACCCCCGGCATAAAATTGACCGTTTACTCGAAATTACTCGCGGCACCGCGAACTCCCCTTCCCGCAGAAACATTTATTTAAACGTTCCTGTAGGAAGGATATTTATTTAATATTTATGTAGGAAGGATATTCATTTAATATTCATGTAGGAAGGATATTTATTTAATGTTCCTGTAGGAGGCCAAGTACGCCCGGAAAGTGTAACGACGGATATGCTTTAAACAAAATTGTGTATCCTTCGCAGCTCGCCTTAATCTCATTCGATCGACCTTTCGTCTCATTTTGTTGACAGTAAAACGAAGTCGCTCCATTAGGTACATTCCCGTACTTCTTGGTTTACTTACCGATACATATATAGCTCGCTCATTAGAAATTTTCCGCCCAATGGCATTAATTGTAGATATAAAAAAAAAAAAAACCGGCAAAGTTCCGCAAATGGAAAAAGGTGGCGAACCTCTTTCAACGATCATTATACGAAACGAGTAAAATTTCGTGATCTAAACGTTCCAAGGCATGAGCCAACTATGAACTATGAACTGTGAACCATGACTCGTGAGCCCATTAACGATGAACTCAACCCACGATCCTCATCCGAAAAATTTCTTCATGTAAACGTTTTAAAGGCACGACCCATGGGACCATGAATGATGAACTATAAACTGTGAGTCCATGAACGATGAACTCAACCCACGATCCTCATCCGAAACGAGTAAAATTTCTTTATGTAAACATTCCAAGGCACGAGCCATGGAATTATGAACTATGCACCATGAACCGCGAGCCCATGAACGATGAACTCAATCGACGATCCGTACAATTCGTAGTAAATCCAGGGGAGTTGAAGACTCACCTTCCACCCGGCGCTGCTGTTGCTGTCGCCTTTGTCCTTGAAGTAGGGCACGTTCTGCACCATCCACTCGTAGATCTGCGAGAGGGTGAGCCGCTTCTCAGGAGCGCTGGTGATGGCCTGGGTGATGAGATCGGCGTAGCTGAGATTTCCCCAGGCGTTGCGCCTGGACGAGTTCTTCTTGACTGGGAGGATGCCTCCGCTCTGAAGGGGGCCCTGCTGGGGGGGCGTACCGCCCTCGACGGCCTCTTTGCCGCCGGGGGTGCCGGCGCCACCCTCGACGTATCCCTCGGGCCTTGGCAGCGGCCACGTGTTCGAGCGCGCCCTGGTCTGCGGCTCGAAGGTGCCCTCCAGGTCGAAGGGCACGCCGGCCGGCGGCCCCGCTCCCGCCACCGAGTCCATCATGGCGTCGTCCGTGATCTCCGGCACCTCACGCGCGCGACGCTGACGCTGTCGGCGGGCCAGGGGTGCTCATGCGGCTCAAGACTCGCGCGCCGAACCTCGCATCTCCCGGGGGCGACGGACGCTGCGACGGCCACGACCCTCCACCCTCGGCCGATGCCGCCCGACTGCGGGCGGTAGGCTCGGGCGCGGGAAGGTCAGCCTCGGCGAGGCGTCCTCCTGCGTCTGGCCCGGGGGAGGGAGGGGGTGCACGTGGGTCGTTCGGTGTTTATCCGAGCCGCATGCCGACGCGCCGGTCACGTGGCCATGTTTTGGTCCCAGTGGTCGCGCTCAAGCGGTCGACCGATCCCGAGGTCGAGTACCCGGCACCGCCCTGGATCGCGAGAATTCCTCGGCCGAGAAATCACCGCTTCGGAGCGGCACTCCTTGAGAAACTTCGAATCCCGGATGGGATGGATCCCCGCGGGGATTTCGATGATCGGAGCGGAACTCGATTGCGGGATCTTGGGGGATTGGTTGGACGTTCGGGGGGCTTCTCCTTTTTTGGAGAGGACGTTGGGACTGCGCGATCCAATGCTACGGGGATCTGAGGCACCGAGAGTCGGCGGGGAACTGGCGCAGAACCGGGAACGGGCACCGACGGCGAGACCGACACCGACTTCGAACCTGCCGGCGAGGCAGCGCGGCGCGTACTGGCGGGTTCGCGCTCCGCCGAGCCGCCGGAGAGCGGTCCGCGCGCGGGAGCTGCGAATTCGTGGCGCCTGCCTCTCCGCCACGGCGAGTCTTGGAGAGAGAGAGACGGGGCATGCGATAAGCTGGGGGTGGGACGAGGAGGGGAGACCACTCGCCGCGAGAGACGGAGAGGGCGTCGCGGAGACTCGTCGAGAGAGAGCGAGAGGGAATCGTGGGGAGGCGAGGAGGGAGTCGCGGAGGGACGAGCGAACTGCGGGGAGGGGGGGCGGCGTGGGTGCGCGGGAGAGACACCCTGGGAAAAAGGAACCGCGGATTCGAGAGAGACGGATGAGAAAGGGAAATAGACGACGGAGAATTACCGAAAGCTTCGCAGAGATCGAGAATGAGAGATACAAATAATGGGAGGAGCGAACGAGAGGAGATAACTTTAGAAATAATAATTGTCAATGCCTAACCTTCAAAATATTAACCTTCTGCATTGGAAATAAGAATAAATGCGTGACCTTAAATATATTAACCATCTTGCATATGGGCGAGGTACGGTTTTAGGTTAGGTATTCCGAGGAATTTCTGCCCCATCAAGGCCGAGATAGCCGATTCTTTACGGCCTCTTTTTTTCCCCTGCTATCTATGTATTTATCTGCCTACCTGTCTATCTCTATCTATTTTCCTTCTTTTTTTTTTTCCTTTTCTCCTCCGCGCCTCTCTCGGAAGAGGGAGATTCTTACCGTGTGAATTCCCACACTCGGCCGGTGAGTTAACGTCGAGGCGAAGGTCGAGACGTCTGGTCGATCGCGGGAATGACCCTTTTCCATCGAATAACTTTCGCGACGACGAGTCGATTTAAGCTCGAGCTATCGATTACCTACTTCCAATTCGAGCCGCGAAATGCGCGTTCCCCTTTCGGACGCCGAAAAGTCCTCGAGTTCCGAAATTCGTGAGCGATCGCAAACGCCCTCTGGTGTTACTCGAGTTTCACCCCGCGAATTGCGTTATTATACTTTTCTAGAAACGGGTCTTGAACGCTTACGATAGTAAACAAAGCAATTAACCCTCATATATCTGTTAGATATCGCCTGCCCGTGATCCATATTTCGCCGAGTAATTCTTAATTCGATACGAGTCACGGCGATATTAAGCTCTACGACTTTAATATTATGCGCTTTGTGTTAATCCTTTTCGCGGGTAGAAATTATTCCTGGGTTCGGATTCGGTTTTATGCCACCCCAGGCATTAGAATTCCGCGCGGATCGATTTTGTTTTGTATTTCAACTTCTCGGCCCGACAAAGAATCCGTTGCTTCAGCGAATGCTGGCTCGTTTGCATCTTCTGTGCATTGTATTCCGTTCGGATGTGTGGCCTTTCGATTTGTAAATTCCGAGGGAAATTCGCCCGGGTTCCTTGCACTCTAACTTCGCAATTGACGGGCCCCTTCTCGGTACTCCTGTTGGAACGTAGTTTGCAGTTTCCGGACGTACCTTCCCTCTTCCGTTTCTCCCGCTTTCGCACTTTACGGCGAACCGGCGATTTACTACGCCGAGAAGGAAGGGGAGATCATTAGGAGACTTAACCACCGAGTTTATTCCGCTCGTGTGTTCGTACTTACTCTTTTATGCGACCCTGCCATGTTACCTGATAATTAGCAATGTTCCTAGACGATTTTTACCGCATGGATTAAGAATCTCGACATCCTCGAGTTAAGGTTTTAAGGCTTTACCGTTTTAAGCCCATTGTTTAACGGCTTTTCGAGTCATCTCGCGTTTGAAAGAAACATGGCGTCTCGACGGTGGCGCCATCTGGGAACGGCGAGTTGGTACTTCAGGTTTCTTGATAAACACCTCGCGCGCGAAATCAGTCCTCGTTTGAAATTGTCTACCTTAGTAAGAGGAGACCCTGAGTCGGTATTTCAGGTCTCTCGTTAAACCGTCGAGCGAGATCAGCCGTCGTTTAAAATTGTCTACCTTATCAACCGTCGAAGCTGTTGCATCGAATTTAAACAACTTCCTCACAATAAATCTTTATACGCACTAATCTACACGTTACTTTCTTGATTTCCTCGCAGAAATGTAATAAAGTATTATTTATACTGTACCTGTCATTAGAAGACCGAAGACGTCGGCAGTGAAGGTTCCGCGCGCCGCCGGTAGATGTCGCCACGAGTCAGCGATCGAGTTAGGCTGATCAATAACATTCAATAGTCCCTAATTTTATGTCGAACGGATCTCCGCAAAAAAATGTATAAATTCTAAATCACCGCTTTATACCGATTCAAAACTCAGTGAGAACTCCGTATCTTAAATAAATTAAATTCATTAAATTTAACACGTAATTCAAACACGATTTCGGTATTGTTTTCGATTAGAAGGGGATTAACTTACAATGGCCTCCGTATCATTTTCGTGTTATTTTATTAACAAAGCGTAACAGTCAATAAAACGAGTAATGCCTCTTCACGAACAACAGAGAGACGTCGAACGGAATTGAAAATGGTACATCCTATTGTTATTGCAGCATACACTTTTCTGTCGAACCAATACGACTATGGTCTAACGTCCGATCTACTCTAACATACATCTCTACGCACTATACCTCCTGCGAGGAACTTATGGCAGACACATGAGTGTGCGAAGTAAACGCTACGTCGCTTGACCTTCCCTAATCTAGCGCGATATCTATTAGAAGTGTTCGATGACAAAATCGATCAGTCAATAATGGTGCCCCAATAATGTTAGACGAGCGTGTAAAAATGATATGCGCATGATAAATGAATATTAGGCTCGCGTCCTAGGATGGACTACTCGAAACGGAGACGCAACTTTATAATGGGCAATTGCAAGTTATTTTACAATATGCGGTGTCCCTAGAATGGATAATTCCGATGGGGTAAAGCGTATTCGGTAGGAAATAGAAAATGCATAGGAATATCGAACACTTCTGGCGACTAGGAATTAATGTTCGTCGTTGAACACTCGTTCGGACATTGATGCGTTTGTCGGATGAACAACGAGATCGGACGAATAAAAGGATAAAAAAAATTGGGGAACCTTGACGGTACCTTAATCTTATTAAATCTCCTCTTAGTCAATTTTTCATTGGGTAAGTACGGAAAAATCGGGATTATTTCTATAGAATGACGATAGCGATACGATACCCCGCGTGTGGATAAAATGATTCCTTTTGATTTTGGAGTTCGATCGAGTAGTTATCTCGTCTATTGATTTCAGCATCCGACCTCGGGGTTATCGCGACCAACGCGAAACTGGACAACAGCAAATTTCTTCGCACCGTAGCAACGTGGAGTTCTAAAGACTACACGATCTAGAATGCTTGGCAGAGCTTGAAAAAAGGTAGGTAGTGCACCGTTAATTCGCGCGACATTCGTTAATACGTACACAAAGCTAGCAGTACTAATCGAAGTGTCACTAACTTGGACTTCCCTCTAGGACATCGACATACGGATAATAAAGAAGAGTGCATCGCCGTCGTCTCGGCGAAACTAAGCGGATGGACCCGTCGACAAGCACAGGCGGAAAGAAGAGGTAAGACCCTCCTCTACCTCGTGGAGTTTCTCAGAAAAAGACCGGCCTTCATTTCATTATCAAATTAGAAAACGGCCCCCGTGGCCGGTCCCTTTGTCTGTAAAAATCCCTACCGTCCCGCGTTACGTCCACCTTTAATCTGCAAAACGACGAGCAACGACTAACAGCCGCTCGTAAACTCCCGAAGAGATATACATTGTACATATGTTCATTCTTCTAGCGGCGCAGCATCTCGAGGCAATGTTGCAGAGACATTAATGCACGACTGTACACTGTGCATGGATGCGGATGGGCGACGGTATCGATTAACGATCAAGAGCGACAAAAGGTAAGAGCGTGCTAGAGACGCCAGGTAATGGGCGCTAGTCGCGAATTTACATACAAAGATGTATCCACACGGTACAAGGTTTCCATACAACGGTGCAGGTGCAAGGCAACGTCTACGAACGTCTCTCTACGGATGTAGAAGGAGCATCGCGGGAGAAATCGAGGACGCTCGGATGGACCACCCCATAAGAATAAAATACCATCGCAAGAGGAGACGCAGGATCTCAGGCACGCCCGGAAGGAGAGTCTGTATATATTCGTTAAAAATTATAAAACTTATAAAATTATAAAACGAGTTCCCGACGCCTTTATAGTCAGAAGTGCCCTTCTCGCTGCGCCTCGGACATTGAGAAAAGGATTCATTGCACTAAAGGAATATTTTGTCAATCCGAAGAATTGTCACCGAAGTAGACTCAAATAAATCGTCCCGATTCCGCGGAGACGTGGCATCCGATTTATTCGAGTTTAATTAATTGTCCAATTTTCAAAATATTTCTCTGGTTCAGTGAAATCTTTTTATCAGTGAGGATGTTATGCCAGGGGACCAGAGGGAGCGTTCTCGAACGATGGACCCCATCCACGAGTCTATCTACCAGTGCTTCTACGGTGAAAAGGTCGAAAGAGAGAAAGATAGGCTAAGATGACTTAACGATTACGGACAATTAGATCGGCCGAGTGGAATCTAGAGGGTGGATGGGTTCAGCTGGACCGTGATAACAACGGGGAAATGAAACCTTTGCGACCCACACATCTTCCACTCGGGTGGCACCCCTAACGAGGGTTGCCACATGCACGCACTCCTTCACGCACCCCCACACACTCTGCATTAGATATTCCTCTCGCATCTAACATCGATACACACGTACATAAAGGAGTCTTAGATTACTATGTATACCTATATCTGTATTTATAAGTATACGCACCGCATGCACGCACGTGCACCCGCGTAACACACCTCGGTACTAGTAAAATTACCGATCGTGCGGCTCTCTACGGTTCTTTTTCTCTTATTTTAAGACTTTTTAACCCGCTCTCTCGAGGGTTAAATCCGCAGCGGTGCCGCACCCGGCTCTTAAACGCACGTTTATGTACACCTAAAACGCACCGTGCACGCGTGGGGTGTC